AATAACAAATTGTTCAGCAATCTTTGGATCAAAAAAATTTCTCCACACTAAAATCTAGGGATAAACAACCACCCTTTTGAAAAACAAAATAAAGTTTAATACCCTTTTTTGCTACCAAACCAGCTTTGTTAAATAGTCTGCATTTCTGAGCTATTTATAGAGGCAGATCTGGAAAAATCATTATCTTTCTTATATTCTATTCCAAAGATCCTGCTAGCCAAGATAAATGCAGGATATGGTCCCATATTGTCACTTTAAGAATCTTACCACAATAGTTCTGGGTTTATCTACTGCAGTGTTTCTCAATCTTGGCAACTTTAAGATGTGCGGATTTCAACTCCCAGCATTCCTCAGCCATCATGCTCTACTGAATGGAAATAGAAACTCCATGATAAGCAGTTTCAATTTCTATTTTATATTATGGCTGCAGTGAAAAGATGGTGTGTATAAATGAAGACTCTAGTAGCCTCCACTAGAATCCTTCAATTGTCAGGAATGTTTAAGAATTGTATTTCTGTGATGTAGACCTTATAGATAGGTCATTTCATCTTGAACCTGCTTAATTTACTTTCAATATCGTTTCAACCTTGATGGCACATTGCTGATCAGAATTCTCAAGCTGATTTCTTTTGATGTGAATTAATCACAAAGGCTTTGATCTTTAGATGCCATTTTCCCATCTAAAAAAAATCAAAGCTCTGCTTCATCTCCAAAAGTTCTGTTTCACCTCACCTACTGGGGTTCTTACCTTTTTAAATTTGGTCTTTCAAAAAAACCAAACCAACTATAAATCGTAAGAAAAGTCTTTTCAGGAGATAAGCATCATAACCTTACTTCTGTGCAACTGTCTCTGCTATGCTTTCCTGTAGCTGCAGTTGATCCAGAATGCAGTGGTACTGGCAATTATGGCTGTATCTCACCAGGCCCTTTGCTCCATGAGCTGCAATGGTTACCAGTAGACTTCTGGGTGCAATTCAAGGGGCTGATTATTACCTGTAGTGTAAAGGCCTTCATGCATAAGGCCTGGTTATCCAAGGAACCATCTGTTTTCCATGGCTTCTGCCTAGCCGGTACAATAGGGCAGAGTTGGCATGCTACAGGCCCCATCAATTAAACTGTATCATCTAGTGGCACCCAGGAAGCATGCCTTTTCTGTTGCCCTTTGGAACACCATCTTCCCTGAGATCTGTGTGGCCTCCACTCTGTCCATGTTCAAAAGAGCTCTGAAAACCTGACTGATTCTCCTGGCCTTGAGGTTAGAGTGAGTGGGTTAGGGTTTTGGCACTTATTGTGTTTCTCCTGACATTTGAGTGCTGTTTGTTTGCTTTAACTGTATTGTATGATTATTTTTAGTAGACACTGCCCAGAGTTGTCATAGAGTGAAATATAGATTTCTACAATAAATAAATAAAGGTCAGGAATAAATTCAGCTTTTGACTGCTCTTCAGTTTGAAGAAACTGTTCTTCCGTGGATGGGGAGCAGAAAGAAGCAACTTCTGCTTTCTCTGTATTTTTAACCTCAGCTTCATAATTTATCAACCCAGAGCTGTAGTTTAAACAAAGGGAAACAAGGGGAATTTTTGACTTAATAATTAATAAAACAGCCAAAAGATGAGAGAGCCCTTCCCCCAGTGAAGGACCAAGACTGTGAATTCAGCACATTGCCTTTCTCAGCTGGAAGGCAAAGAAATTAATATAAATCTAAAAGCGTGATTGATTTGATGGTCTATGGTGAAAGATTGAGACAATTAGTGAAGCAATGCTCTCAATGTGAGACCGATCATTTCTCAGTAGAGGAAAAGTGGTTCTTGGGAAAAATTAAACATGGAAGAAAACGAAAGAAGGAAAAGTAACTAGGGTGAAAGTAGAAATGATTGCAGGAAGAGAAAAGTACAAACCATATCTTAAAAAAAGTTTTAGATGCCAAGAAAGTAATTGTGGAAGCTGCATAAAAATAAAATCAATTGTGTTACAGGATGCCACAGCAGGGTGTGGAATTATAGTAATGGGAAGTGTGAAAAAGGAGGATGGTATGATGAAGCAAAAGAGGTTGTGGATGAGGAAAAATGCATATAAGAGAATGATCACTGCAAAGCAGGAAGCTGAACGATGTTTAATAATGTATACAGAAAGAGAAGGGGTTGCAAAAATATGGTCAAAGAAAGCAAGGGATGGTTTAGATTCAAAGAGTCAAAGAAAATGCAGAGTGATTATGATGGAAATAAAATGCCTACTGTTTCGCAAGTAGCTAGAGAGGACTAAACAAGGAGTCTCCAGCAGAGTGCGTGGAATTAAAAATAAAAGGGATGAAATGAAATGAAATTCTCCTTCAAAAGTGAAATGAGAAAATGTTGGAAGGAATATTTTAGAGTCATAAATGGAAGAGGGGAATTGAGTATCTTTAGTATCTAAGGAATGAGTGATGAAAAGGAAGTCCTACATGTGGTGTGGGTATTGAAAAAGGCTAAGGCTCAGGAGTGTTTGGAATTACTGGAGAACCACTAAAATTTGGACGCGGGTTGCCTGTGGGGTGGCTGTGTGCTCTGTTTACTATGTGTGTGAAGAATGCATTTATGTCTGATGATTGGAACCACACTGTCCTTATTCCCTATACAAAGGAAAAGATTGCAAGACTGGATGTAAAAATTACAGGGCAATTAATTTATTAAGTGTGTCTGGAAAGCTGTTTGGTAGAATTCTGACTGAAAAAGTACCAGAAATGACACTTGGGGAAGTGCACCGCGGCTTTATGTAAGCAGGGAGTGTGCAGACCAGATTTTTGCTCTTTAGCAGGTCATTAAGAAGCATATAAGTACGGGAAAGAAAATGCATGGATTTAGAGAAGGCATATGATATAGTGAATAGTGTTGGAAACGTGGAAAGTTTTGTGTGAATATGGAGTTGAAACTTGGAGGCCTAATGCAATAGGGGCAGTATATGACAGAAGTAAAGGATGTGTGCAAATAAACAAAATGTTTAACAAATAGTTAAATATTCAACAGGGAATAAGACGAGGGTGTCTGATTTACCCTTGTTGTTTAAAATATTTACAGATAAAGGTCTCAGAAATGCTTGTCATGATGCTTGAGGTATACTGGTTGGGGATATGGAAGTACACGTACTTCTGAGTGTAGATGATAACATGTTCTTTTCTGAAAGCCCAAATGATTTGCAGCGAATGTTAGATAGCAACAAGAAGTACTCTTCTAAAAATGAATGTATAACAGACCAAGTTAGTTGTGCTTGACAGGGAAAATGCAGTAACAATTGCAAATCATAATGTATTTCAAAGGCAAAAAAAAAAATGGTGGAAGTAGATTAATTTACATGCTTTAGTCATATGTTTATTAAAGAGGGGGAAATGGGGAAAAATTAAGAGATGCAAATGCTGGTAAAAAGATGGTGGGTAATATGTGGTCTGCTTCAAAAGAAGCAAAAATGGAGACACACACACACATCCACAACCATGTTCCTGCCAGCCTGGTACATGGAAGTTAAAACGGGATATGTCAGAAGAAACATAGAAGTCAGCTGAAGGCAATGGGAACAGAAGAAGTGTTTGTGCTGATAAAGCAAGAAGGAATGGGCTTGAATACAAAAACTGATTACCATATGGAAGAAGTACATTTCAGTGGCTTGGCCAAAGATAGAAAATCAAATCAAATTGCACAAGTATACAAAGGAAAAACTGGGTTGAGAGGAAAGAACAGGGAGGCCGAGAAAGTCATGGTTGGATGGAGTTGATGAGATCTTCAAACAGAGAAGTGAGAGCTTTAAAGAACAAAGGAAATGTACAAAGCAGTGGATGGACATGAGAGAAACAAGATTAGTGGGCAAGAATAGAACTGCATGGAGAGGTACGGCAAATGGTATTTGTGTAACTATTTATTTATTCGATTTTTGTGGCTGTGACTCCGGGTGGCTTACAATAAGATAGATGAAATGCATAAAATAACAATATGGTAAAGTACATAGCAGCCGGGCATCCTCCAACAATTAGCAACACAGCCAGGAGATGGGCTCACACACTCAGGGCCCCAGGCTCAAGCCCAAAACCAAGTTTTCAAAGTCTTATGGAAGGCCAGGAGGAACGGGGCCAACCTAATCTCTTAGTTATGTCCTTTTTCTTATCTCCTACAATGGCTTGCTATTTCTTACTCTATTTTGTACTCTCCGTAACATTATTTATCCTGAAAAGAAGTTGTGTGTTTGCATGTAAAATGGTTTGCAAAAACTTTCTGTCTTAAGCAAAATCGCAGGCAAAGATGTGTAGCTTTGAGAAATCTTCACCCAAATACATACACATTCTGGTTCAATTAAAAATATGTGTACCCCACGTTTGCAACCTGAGCTTAACAAATTTGCCAAGCAGAGGTGGGGGGGAAAAAAAAGACCACATTTTCCCATCCCTCTTTGGGCTCCTTCAGAGAGTCTCTAGCTGGGGAGAAGAAATTTCTGACTTGCTCCGACCAGCTGGATCCCAAGACATAAGGGTCTCAAAGGAAAGTGACCGCATTTCTGACCCTGCCATTAAGCAGGAGAATTGTTGCAGCCCCTCTTAACAGGGGAGATCATTGGCAAAAGAAGACTGCAACCAGACTCCAGCATACTTCCAAAAGTGGGTGGGTGTCTTTGCTTGGCTACATTCAACTCCACCCACGCGGACTGTGGCATGACCGACGTGAGTCACCTCTGGAGTTAAGCAAGCTTTGAATGGGTTTGGAACTTTACTGACAAGTGCCCAGTTGGACACTGATCCATCCAGCCCCACGTCTTCTTCTAAGTCACCAGGTGGAAGGGCTTGGAATAGCTTTCAGTGTGTACACAACAGCCATTTGGAACAACTTTCAGACTTCTGTCAACTGTATTTACTGTCTGGATTTCCAGATGCAGCCGCCTTGCCATGGTGAGCGAGTCTCAGCTGGAGACAAGAGTTGCTCATTTTGTTTTCTGCTCCCTATATCCATTTCTTTCTTTCTTTCTTTCTTTCTTTCTTTTAGGGGGACCCTGGGATTAATGGCATTAAAGGAGAAAAGGTAATTGGCAATTTCTATGGATAATCCCTTTCTTATCTCTTCTTGGACCTATTTTCTCTTTAATTCCAGGCCTTTTTTAAAGAGTGTTGCTGACTTCTTGGCTTCAGATTATATTCAACAAATCAATGCTATGATGCTATCTCTGCCTCCTTCTCCCCCTTGTAAATTCCTCGCTTTTGCTGATTTTACTCAGTAAAGCTGCGGCGGACACCAAGCACGTGTAAAAGAAATAATAATTAATTGTGATAGTTTTGAAACTGAGATTGATCTCTCTTTCTTAAGTTGATTCTGTTTACTGTAGACTAACTTGGTCTGCTTCTGACCTCCATGGTTACCATCCCTGGTAGAAGCTTTCCTGGCTTATAGCTGGCAGAACTGAGCTTGTCCTAACTAAACTTCTGTTTTTGCTGCCTCTCGCTTCAGGGCGAGCCCTGTTTGTCATGCAGCCCCATCATTCTTCCATCTTCACTGAAAGATCCTGGGAAAAAAGGGTCTGAAGGAAACGGTTCATTGGTCGGGCTTCCTGGGCTTCCTGTACGTATAAATCCCTGTTCTTCCCCTTTGCCTTTAAGCTGCTGACTGGGAGAGGGATGAAGCAGAATATAGCCAATAATGAGAATGTGAAGAAGAGTTTCTGGTCCTCATGGACATAATGAAAGCATTTGTAATGCCTTGAACATTTTCTGCGAATAGGAAGGTCCATGATGTAAATATAACCTTCTGGCCTGCTATCTGCTCATAGCCTCAGCCTGGTTCTGCAAAGTTGGCCAACAATATCTAAGGGCAAAAAATATATTATTATCCCAGATTTGGCTGATGGGGGAGGGGTTAAATAAAGTTTCACTATTTTAAACCACTTAAATGGGCCACCCAATTAATTAAGTGGCAGCACCTAGTTGATATTAGCTGTTCTTGCAAAGCTAAGCAGATCTGGTTAGTCAGGTGGATGGCAGATGACCTGGAACTCCTAGGAAAGTAGGCTAGAATGGGGAATGGAAAAAGTCACAGAAGAAGGCAAACCATTTCCATAAGTGTTACCAAGAAAACTACTTTAAACAGGCCAGCAAGTCTGGGTATATTACTTTTGATTGATTTTCTTGGTAAGTGCCACATTAAGAGCTTCCTCACTAATTTGGCCATTGTTCTTCCCCCACCCCACCCCACCCCACCCCACAGGGCAAAAGTGGCCTTCCAGGACTGGCTGGATCTAAAGGAGAAAAGGTAAAATGTTCAGTGGGGATAATTCAACTTTAAGTGTTTGATGTTAATTCAGAGTTTAATATAATTGTGTGTGTAACTGTTTACATGTGTATCTGTGTGCTTCCAGAATATGTGTACGCTATTCTATTTTCCCTTCATTATCCTCCCTGTTTTTATTTGCTGGATGTCTGGATTATTCACTGTTAAGGAACTCCAAGGCTGCAGATTTAGGCTGATAAACTTGACTCACTGTCTTGTTTTACAAAGCAGAGGTTCCAAGGGCAGGTTTGCCATGCATGTACTTGTGCATTTCCTGCCTTGGATAAGGCGACATATTTTCAGGTTTAACCTAATGATCATCCACAGCATTCTGCAAAAGATTCTGGGAATTCTTATGATCATCTTTGAAGTTGCGCCTCACTTAATAACAGTCTTTCAGATTCTTTGTGTGAGCACCAAAATCAATTTGGTGTGCCAATTTTAAGCTGCCAATGGCCCTTAATGTCCTATTGCTGTTTGCTTGGAATGAAGATTCATTGCCACCCCATCTGCACAGCTGAGCTTTACACTTTCACTTATTCCTCCACTTTTACTTTGGGTTCAATCCTTTAATCCAGGGTTCCTCAACCTTGGGAACTTTAAGATGGGTGGACTTCAACTCCCAGAATTCCCTAGCCAGCCTTGCTGGCTGGGGAATTCTGGAGTTGGAGTCCAGCCATCTTAAAGTTGCCAAGGTTGAGGAACCCTGCTTTAATCAATAGGCTGCTTTTATCTCAGATGTTGCATTATGGCCCATTTTCTTCTTTCAGCAACCCCCCTGTTTTTGTTTGTTCCCTAGGGAGACCCTGGACCTTTGGGACCGATGGGCAAACCTGTGAGTATGACCATGCGAGAGAGGTTGAAAGGGTGCTGGCCAGAGTGACCTGTTGTGGTCTGAGTAGTGTGAAGATCTTGTGAAAGCATACCAAAGCCATATGAGTTGTAAGGAACAACTCTAGATAGAATGTCACCAACTTTGAATTCTCAGAGCACACAGTCTTTCAGATCACCTTTCAGATACTAACCAAAGAAGGGGGAGTGCATTTTTATGTGGGTGTAGAAAGAGAGGTCTGTGCAGCAAAGAATAGTAATTCTGAATTCCTATCAGTGAATTGCATACAGTTAAGCTCTCAGTGGTGTTTTTTTCTTCTTCATGTCCAAAAATTCTGTTCCAGATGTTCACACACACACACACAGAGGAACTCAGACTGCTGCTCAATACTTTCTAATGCTGGACAATTAACTTTAATGGTGGGTTTCATTATCTATCTAAACTACAGTGCCAATGAGATTAAAAGAAGCCTCTGGCTTTTTCTTTTTTCCACTCCCTTCTTAATTGCTTCTTAACTTCTTCTCTGTTTTCAGGGAACCCAGGGGAATAAAGGGGACACTGGAAGTGCGGGTGTCAAAGGCGAGAAGGTGAGCAACTTGATAACAAAAGAGGAAATGAGCATGGCCCGCCTGCTCCCGTAGGAGAGCTGTGAATTTTGATGAGTCCTCTCTCTTCTCTTACCATCTTTCCTCAGGGAGAACCATGCGTGTCCTGCTCTGCTCCTGCAGAAGGCGGAGAGGTTGCAATCACTGTACCAGGGCCTCCAGGGGAAAAGGGTGAACCAGGTCTCCCCGCGACTGGGCTTCCTGGAAAACAAGTGAGTGGACCTCTCAGTTCTATCTCATTTGGGGAGGGGGAAGGGGGGGTATTATCCTAATAGGACTTGCAGGAAGATGGTCCCCAGGTGTCAGAGGAAACCACCTTTTCCTGCTGTAGCTGAATGCATTCATTTATTTTGCAGCTGAGATCCACAAATGGTGTAGCAGAGATGCAGTGATATCAATGAAAGAGGATCTTTTTTAAGTTGAAAGGAGTTTACTTTTAATGTGGGCATAAACTTGCTCAAAACGCAGCTGGCTTCCAACATCTCTTTCTGGATTTCAACCCCTTCCTCTACTTTGGCTGCAGTGACAGCCTGGAGTTTTGCCCAGACTGTACTTGCCTGTCCAGCTGATGGATTCTCCTGCTTCATCACCTAATCCATCCCAAGTCAGCAAGCACCAGTCACTTTCCCTTCCATTGGAGGGTCTTGAAGGACATGTGGTTCCCATTGATGGGCCTTTTGCATCAGTCCCCCTCTGTTGACTCCCCCGCTTGACTTTCAGTCTGATGCATCCATTGGTGGATTGGTAAAAAAAAGAAAAGTAAGACCACTATTGTATCATTCAGGTGGGCTAGAAGGGGAAACTGCCAGAACTCTTGCCAGTTTCACTAGGTAGGAAGGAAGGTCCACCATTCCCCCACTTATACAGGTAGTCCTCACTTAATGACCATCTGTTTAGTGACCATTTGAAGTCACAACAGTGCTGAACAAAGTGACTTATGACCAGTGCCCAAAGTTACGATTGTCAAGTGCCCCTGCAGTCATGTGATCGCGATCTGGGAGCTTGGCAACCGGCTCGCACTTATGACAGTTGCAATGTCCTGCGGTCACCTGATCACCATTTGTGACCTTCCCAGCTGACTTGCAGCAAGCAAATCAATGGGGAACTGGATGTTTCGCTTAATGACCACTGCAAAAAAGATCATAAAATTGGGCACGACTCGCTTAACAACCACCCCACTTAACAATGAATTTTCCAGTCCCTATTATGGTCATTAAGCAAGGACTACCTGTAAAAGAAAAAAAAGGGGCCAGCATTTCATCCTTCTGCCAGTGAACTTCTGGAAAAAAAAAAAAAAATCAGTGTTTCACCAGCCCACTTGTGAGGGAAAGAAACATGAAAGGTTCACCAGTGCAGGTCTCTTTTGAAGAAGGTACGCAACATAGCAAGACAAGACAAAATAGCTGTGGAAAGCAGTGGCCAGTGATGGGGGCAAGGGGGTTCTGCCACAGTCGCCTATGGGAATGGAGGACTTTGCCTACAGTGAAATCAAGCACGGCGGGCAACACCACTTGAACTGCCAACCTTGCCAAGAAATCAACTCCACAGGAAGGCTAAAACTATTTTCATTGAGACTGGCTAAAATAACAGAATCCTACAGGTCTCCTTATGTTGTTCTTCATCCTCCTCCTTATAGTTCAGTGAATTAGGGAGGTTTCTGTCTGAGCCAGTTCTGAATGTTATCTGAACATTCTGGACTCAAAAAAAAAAAAGTTTTACCCCTTGTCACCATGGCAATGAAGCTTACGTATCTCCATCAAGGTCATCTTCCTTACTCTCTACATGAGCTGGCCCAAGCTGGAGAATGCTATCTTTGCAGTGTTGCTGGAGAAGATGGGTAGAAATTGCCTTTTTGTTAGGCTGAGGGCAGGTAGAGGGTGATGTGTCCTGTGTTTCATCCCTTCAGAAATGGTCAGTGGGCTGTACTAGGTCAAGCTGGTTGTGCAAATTAGCCCAGAGAGCACCAAAACATGATGGGAAATCCCACTGGTGTAATTCAGCAGTGTATCACCAAAGTCTGTTGTCTATTCATGAGAAGAGTTTCCCAAATCAATTGGAGGTGTGGAGCACATGAAACAGTACATCTTGCTAAGATCTGGCCACTGATCCCATTGTTCCAGGCAGAGCATGGGCTGCAGAAGATATGGGCAACAGGTTCCTTATTAGATTGCCTGACAAACCTCTATAAAAGGGCTTTCCAGCTGCCATAAGGTAGCTGCAGTCTATCAGTCTGGGTGGAAAACTATTCAGTTCATATTGCTTTCTCTCCTTTAGGGAATACCTGGAGAAGCAGGAGTAAAAGGGCAGAAGGTAAGCAAAAGCATCGGTTTCACAGCCCAAAGGTGAACAGGGTGAGCTTCTGACTGTGGCCAGGAACATCATGCATTTCCCAAGACAGAAGGCATAGAATAGAAATTCCACCCTAAAACACGGATGTGTTGCAGAGCAAATGCATTCATCTGCATTATATAAGGCTGGATCAGAGTGAAGATGCATAAATTATATATTGACATGATCTAATTGTGGAAGAAAACTGCAATAATTTGTAAAGCAATCAAGTTATAAGAGCTACAGAGAAAACACTGGAAATATATACGGAGAACATTATCAACACTTTTCTCTGTTTGCCTGTTTTATTATTCTGTTATTGAAACCATTCCTTAACCGTCGCCCAGATCTACAATACGACATGAGTAGAAAATTGCTCCATCAATGGAGTCAGTCTCATTATTCTAATTAAACCCTTTCTAAATAAATCCTGGCAGAAAACGAGTCCATTCATCCATTCCTTATTCACGGAAAACATATTATTTCCTCGAACTGGATAGGAATAATGTTGTTCCACGTATTTTGGATCTTTAAAAACTGAGCACTTTGGCACTTGGAATGCTGCAGGTGAACCAACATGGAGGCCATGTTTGCAGCCCCACCTCATCTGGCTGGCTTAGGGTCTGCCTTTATCCTACCGCCAGCAGGGAACTGATTACCGACAAGCGTGCAATGGCTACAACAGGAAGTAGTTTTACCAAGAGTGAGATACAGTTGCGCAGGTTCACACAGTTGTGCCAAACCAAGATTGTATTCATCATGGTCTGTTGAATAAGGCACCATTAGCTGGTTCACACATCACCCTAAGCCCCAAATCAGTAGCTGAGTTCACAGAACCTTTTCTTATGCCAAAATCCGCCATCCTCAAAGCACTTTACAGTGACCATATTTTGGGGGGAAGAAAATAAAGGACAAACCTGAAAAAGGAGCAAATCTGAAAGAGGTTCATAAGGATTTTTTCTTTTTTAATTGCCTTTGCCTTACAAAGGAAAATTCACGAGGCCAGCCAAGAAAATAATTAAATTAAATAAATCTAAAGGGCAACTTTCTGAAATAAAGGACGGTCCTTTATAACAGAGGACGAACGGTCACTCTAATCTACCTGTATGTGTGCAAACGCGTGTATGAATGAAGAATACAAGTTAGGCCGGAGCAAAATGAAAAACAGATTCGTGCATCTTTTAAGAACGGAATATAGATGAAATAATTTCAGCAGGAGCAGCTTGTTATTCAGGACTGAGGAATAATACAATTCTGGAAATTCCTTTTTATACAGTTCTGAAAGGCGCACAGGCCCCGAGGCACAAGAGCTAGAACCGCGGTTGCCTAGCAACCCTGACAAAGAGGACCATCATGGCCTGTGCACCCGCACACCTTTCCTCTCACAACCACAATCACCTGAAAGCCTCCGTGTTGCCTGGCAACCTTGCGCTGGGATCCTGAATATCCATTGCCATTTCCTGGAATTAGCATTAGGAATTAGAAGGGTTTCATAGAATCTGGGGGAAATTATACCTAAAACTGTGGTGAGAGGACATTGCATTGCGCTCACTCACTCCCAGCAGACAGTTGTAGCCTTGCTCCTGTGGACATAAAATGAGCAAACCATGCACCTATTATTATTATTATTATTATTATTATTATTAT